CATTTCTGATATCGGTAATTGTACATATCAACGGTTACTCGTCCGCTTGCTTACTTGGAAGTAAATATACTTAATTTTAATGACAAGAAAATGCTGCTAAAGTGCCGCTGATTGAATCTCGTTAGTTTGCTTTCGAGCGGGACAAAACCGATACCAAGAAGCGTCTATATACGTACGTACTTGGGCAATTAATTCGACATTTTAATTTACATTTCATGGGAACACAAGCTGTGGCTCTCAGGCACCGGTTCAGGTAGGGTAAGGTAAGGTAAGGCAAGGTAAAGTAAGGTGAGGTTTTGCTGCTGCCCCGAGGGCTTGGGCACAAACTCAAATCGACTGCAAACAGTGGCTTCCACGTTGTCACATGTGTGTGGTTTCCCTGTCATTTTTCCTAAGGCCCTGCAATTAGGCTTACTATGATGTCTAAACCTTTGGTAATAGTAGATTGTTTTTAGTCACAAGTTTACATTTAATCAGAATTTGGTGATTTAAATATTGGGGAATAAATTAAAAGTCTTGCAGATACTGATCGATTTTATATTGAACAATATAAAGGAATACCCCCTGACCTTGTGTTTCAAGGCAATTGGTTTTTGACTCTAATAGGGAATTAATTTAGATACATATTTCCTTATAGACAGAGAAATTTCCAGACTCTGGTGATTAGGGATTTATTGGGAAGTAAATAAAAGCCACTTGATTTTTATCTTAGGAACATTTTTCAAATAAAAATGATTATAACTGATTATAACCCTTTAATGTATACCCATACCCATGTTTTTTCTTCTTGATCATATTTATTTTCATTTATTAACTAATATCCATTTATTGTTTTAATTAAATACTCATTAATTTCATTCCTCCCCAACTTTTAAGGTGATAACATTGCAAGACCATTGATTTCGCCTCAGGCTCTCCTTTTTTATGAACTGTCATTTGGCAAATTACAATCGCATAAAGGATATATGTAATATGCCCAAAACATAGCCAGGATACAGGCTTGTTGCCAAATCCGCTAACTACCCCCAGTAAGGTTGAGGGGTATCAACCCTCTTTAAATTTTTTATGGCTGTCAAGCGTTTATGTCTCACATGATGAGCATGGGACAGTGCAAATTCTTGTCTATCTACAGCTAGTATTTGTATCTTTAACTGTATTCTGGTTCGCTTTTGCAATCCATTGGTTTCGCTGTGAAAGAGCTCAAAACTCCAACTCAAGCGTTGATCCTATTTCAAACGTCAAGTTACTCAAAAAAACTCATCTAGACGCAACTCCCAGCTACTTGACTGTCACATCTCAATAACCCTCGAGTGGATTTCAATTGTCTCCAAAAATAAACGCATTTGCATCCCCCCCTCAAATAGCAGAAATATATACACACACATGCTATAGAGACTATATCAAAGACCCAAGCCCAAAAACCCAAAACCAATCCCAATCCCATTTGAAATGTTAATTTTTAACGCTTTTGTAAATTTTTTCTAATATTTCATAAAGCCAAAAAAGAGCACAGGAACACGTTATATTTTTGAAACAACGAAGAGGAAATGCTCTGAGCATATACTTATGAATATGGGATGTATCTATTTTTGGGAAATAGAATTAGAAACGTATTAACTCTATATAAATTAAGATATTTAAAAGTTTATTTAATATATAATGTGTATTTACCTATATTTATACCAAACCATTTTAAAGAGTAGTCACACTCATATGAAAGAGTATTTGCCAGACTTGAGTGAACCTTTTTTTATGCCATTTCCGTTTTTTGCCTCTTCAGAGCATAAGAACTTGGCATTAACAAAAAAAAAAAGGAGAAGTCACCCACCCCAAGTCCAAGTCTCTGTCCTCCGCCTGAATGTCCGTGTCTACAGCTCCACCTCCACCTCCAGCTCCTTTCTCATCTCCAACTCCAACTCCTTTCCCATCTCTGTGGCAGCCTCGTGACATCATCCAATTCAAAAACTTAAAAGTAAATAGATCCCAAGAGATGAGTCCGCACCATTTGCAGGCATTCCGTTCCGTTCCGTTGTCTCTGTTCTGTTTGTCTCAAGTGACATTGCTGCCAAGGATCATCTCATAATGTGGCAAGCGTTTAGCCTCGGAGGTCTCATCCCCATCCTCCTACTCCTCCTCCTGCTTCTATCCAGCCTCCATCCACTGACGGATTGGCTTAGCTGAGATGTGATGTGCGCGCCGTGCCCCCGAGTTCTGGGGATCTCCAAGCTCCAAGCACGGAACTCTCGACGCGATGCGATGCGACTCCGTATCCTTCGCTTCAAACCACTTGACATTTTCACAGTCTCGCATCCATGTCAATTTTGTGGTTTCGGTTTCACGCAAAACTACATATGTGTGTAAGACAGAGTGTGTGTGTGTGCGTGTGCGGGGGGCTACGTTCTCCATATGAATGCGGAATTTTTAACTGCGATTTTTGCAAATACACAGAGGGAAATAATTGAATACTATCGAGTTCTTCCAAGAAAAATTGACAGTTCTTTAAATAGGAAAACATGTGGTAGTTCCATAGATTATCAAAGTAGATCTTTAATTTAAAATAATAATTAAACGCAACATATTTAGTTTTCTTTATTTTTAAGCTTATAAGTCTTTGTTTTCATACAAGGTGCGTTATTTGAAAGTAGATCTTAATTGAATATACTTCTATAATATAAGCAAAACCTATTTGGAAATTGTAAGCTCAGGGACTGTCGGTTTCGAAACAATACAACACCTTATTATCACTAAATCATAGCAAATTCTGAAATTAAATCACGGTAAAGAAAAGAATCTTAAGAGTAGAGCCTTAAAGCACAATTTGTTGTACTCGTTTTTCATTAGGATAAATTAAAAAAATGATAGCCAACGATTTGCCTAAGAGAAAGCTTATTTGGTATCTAAATTGTTTAGATCAGGTAAGGCACTTTAATAGATATATATATATATATATATATATAGTCTCTAATCTAATTCTGAAAACTCAGTGATATCTTTTCTCTTAGTGTGTTTATCCTGGATTTTAGGACATAAAAACTGGGATTGCCGGTGACTATATCGTTGGAGTGACAAAAGAGAACGCATAGCGGTTATAATAATAATAATAATAATAGCACCGTGTTCCATCCAATCCAAGTACATACAAATATGTTTATTTTATATGGATATATGTATACTACATATAGCATATGCTTATGAACGGTGGATGAGTGTGCGGATTTATACCGCTGTTTTCTTAGATGAGGTTGGAGGGGTACTATCTAGCTCTGTGTGTGTGTGTGTGTGTGTGTGTATGAGTGTGTATGAGTGTGTATCTGTGTACCAATGAGTGTGTAATCCGTCCATAAGTGGCCTCAAATGCCTATCCATAATGATGACGATGATGTGGTTGCCGCTGCGACCAATAGTTGGGCATTCATCATGGGAACAGAGTGATGCCAATCGAAGCGGTATGGGGTAAGGGGCTTGAATATATGGAGGGGGAATTATAGTCGCCGAAAAATAAAAAAACAAAAAACAATTTATGCCGCATGTCACGCCTTCCCCAACAGCAATCGTGTGAGAGCGAGCAAGAGGGCGAGACACTTTCGAGGGCGTTACCCATTATAGATCTCATCAGATCTCTGATATTGTACACATTTGTATCGAATCTATACACAGAGAATACCAAATATGCATACATACACGGAATCAAGATGTATATATATAAATATATGATCATTTTGGGCTGATTTCTGTAAAAAAAAAAAGAAAGAAAAGACTTGAGGCATCAGATTCGCCATGAATCACATCAAAAGGTCTCTTAACACTACAACTGATGGGTGGGATTGAGATTCTAAACAGATGACTTTAGAATGACAAGTTTGAAGGTCTTTTTGTGATATATTATTATAATATATGTGTGTTATTAGATTATATATTGGTAATATTATATTATATTTGTGTATGAATATATTATATTTTGGTACTATTATATTATTTTAAATAGATTTCTAAGCTAAGAGGATAAAGCTATAAGCTGTGATATGTTCTCGAATAGAGCACATATTATATAGAAATCCAGTACAGAAACGTATGAAACATATCTATTTAATATGAAATCTGTCAGATTTTAGTAAGCTTTACTCACCTAAATTTTATACTTTACCATCCATAAAAACCCCTGAAATTTCCATGTTCTTACAATAATTAAAAACCACATTCTATTTAAAAGTTTTCTTCAATTATGTTTCACTGTTTTTATTGTTAATGAAAACTTAAAATCATGTAATACATTACATACACAATCATTTCAAGGGAGGATTGGTGTTTGGGGGGGGGAGCAATAATTCATTCACGAGAGCAATAACATTTCGTTTCACTTACAATCTAACAACCTATGTATCCAAAGGACTTCTTTTTTTAAGGGATATGCTTCAATTTTTTTTTGGGGGGAGAGTTAGTACATCAAAGTTATACAATATATCGACTGTTTTTATTGGCTACGAAAAAAATTTCACTTACAATTATTTAATATAATGCATATCGTTATATATACTATATATGTATATTTGCGTTATAAATATCAATACTTCGTTGTACACCGATCGAGGGAGGTCAGGGGAATCTTAATTAGAACCCTGCTCCTGCACTGCCCAGCCCGCCTATTGATTTATCGATTATTGGATCGGTTATAGATCCTGATCCCATTCACACGCACATTCAAACAAACACAAACACTCTCGCATCCATACTTGAGGAACGGATTGAATACTATATACTTAGATGTCGTTATATCTTTATAAATACATTAAAAAAAAGAGAAAAAAATATGTATATTTATATAACACAAGTACTTGGGAGAAAAAGCTAAGTTTCGGAGCAATTCCAGTTTTGGTGAGGACGACAGGTGGACGGCGGCTTGAAGGGGGACATGCCTGAGTAGGAGTGCCGACCATTTAATGGTCAGTCTTTGCACACACGCCCGCTACACACCCACACACGTACACACACACGCACACACACCCAGGATTCTAAATACAAATACACAATTACAAAAAAAAAACACATTTGACTAAGGATTCAAGGACATCCTCTAGAGCTAGACGGAAATGGCAGCATTTGTTGCCGCCGGCGATTGCTGCGGCTGCGGCTGCTGGTGGTGCTGACCCAGGTGGTGATGATGGTGGTGGTGGTGGCGATGCCGCTCCAGACTCAGGTGGCTCAGGTGGAGATGATGGTGGTGATGCTGCTGCTGCTGCAATTGCTGTTGCTGCTGCTGTAGTTGCTGATGTTGCTGCTGCTGTTGCTGTTGTTGCTGCTGCTGTTGTTGTTGCGTCTTGAGCAACATGGAGCGATACATTTCAGAGAGCAAACTCCACATGGGCGGTGAACCTTTGGGCAAATCCACAGAAGTACCCGTTGGCGGCAGGAAGGCGGTGGGCGGTTGAGCAGCTGCAGCCGCTGCTGCGGCAGCAAACATTTGCGTTTGCAACAACCGAAGATGATGCTGCTCCTCTAGATCCAAAACGGGCAGCGGTAACACTGGACGCCGTCGGGATAGATCCATGCTGTCACTCTCCGTATCCAGTTCCATTTTGATGCTTGTCTCGGGCAGAAGAGAGGAGGAAGCAGCGGTGGGAGCTACTGTGGAACCGGCGGAGCTAGAGGCATTGCTGTCATGACGCTTGCGTTTGCCCAGGAGACGCTCCATGGAAAAGGCACCGCCACAGGGACTGGGCGAGCGTTTCTCCCGCTTAACCTCGTGCTCTTTTTCGGATTCCTGCTCCTGCTCCCAGTCGCGTTCCCGTTTCACCTCTTGATCCTCCCTCTCGGAGGATTTGCAACGTTTGTGCAGACTAAAGTCCAGCGGTTGATCCGCTCGCTCCTCATCCGCAGCAATGCTGCAACGACTACTGCTGCTCCTGCTGCTGCTGGCCAGACTCAGACCACAGTGCATCTCCTCATCCGGTTCCTGATACTGATCTGCTTCTGGAACTTGATAGTGGTCTTGATCCTGTTCCTGTTCTTGATCCTGTTCCTGCTCTTGCTCCTCCTCACTGGAAGCCGCTGGACTGGAGCTATTACCCTGCATATCCACATACACAAAGTCACCATCATCCTCGGCATCGACATCAGCCTCCGGATCGGTGTCGCCTCCAGCATCTGCCTTGACCAGCTCCTGGCAACCTGGTAGCAGACTCAAACCATGCGGGAACATTACATACGGATGATGGCCATGATGATGATGATGCGGTGGCGGTGGTGGCAACAATCCCGGAAAAGCCGCTGGCAGACGTCCAGCGGCAGCGGCAGCAGCAGCGGCCGCCGCTCCCGGCGGAAAGACCGGAAACTGCTGAGCGGTGCGTCCATCATGGGGTGAGATCTTGCGTCGGATGTGCGGTGAGTGAAGTTTGGGATTTGGATTGGCGCTATGACGATTCCTTGAACGCCTTGAGCTAAACACCATATTGCAACCCTCCACGGTGCATTTGTGCATCTCACGGAGATGCACGGCCGAAAAGTGAATCTTCAGGGCACCCTTGTCGCAGAAGGTTTTAAAGCAGATGGAACATTGGACACGTTTCTTGCCCGTTGCCGGATTGATGAACTGTCCGGCCAGGTTGATGGGCGGTGAACCCCAACGTTTGGGTTTCGAGGAACCCGAAGCAGAGCCCGAACCGGAGCCAGAGCCAGAGCCACTGGAGCCACCGGGTGAGCTGGCCGGCGAGGAGGCATGATGCTGCTGATGCTGATGCGGGGTATGCTGCTGCTGCTGCTGATGATGGGGATGTGGGCCATGGCCGAGCAGATAAGCGGGTGACATGAACGGATTCATCATGTGCTCCATGACAACGGCGGGGTTTCTTCCGTCACCGCGATATGCTGCAATAAGAGAGAGAGAGGAAAAGAGAGTGTCAATCAGGGTGGAGTGTCAATCAGGGGGAATGTCAATCAGGAAGGCACTCAGTCGGTCAATCCTAATCGTAGATAATGCCTAAACTTAGCCAGGGATTTGCGCCCCATTGCCTCTGTTTGCCTTTTTCGATTGCGCAAAAACTAACCGGGAATCAATGTTATCGCCAAATGGTCAGCGGTCAGCAGGTCAAATCACTGACCTCCCTTGGACTTGGCACGGCAGACAGGAACATGGATGGGGGACAACTACTGGACACCCGGACACATGGATTTTGATGCGCAATTAGAGCGTACAAGGAAAAGGGGAGGAAAATCTGGGGTATCAACTATATATTAAAGCTCAATTAATTAAGGACTTAGTTACAAAGACTAAAATATACTTTGGGAAAACCTTTTTCTATATATAATACCAAATCTTTAGAGCTTTTTTCTATGTTTTGTTTCCATCTTACCCCTTTAATATCCTTGTCTTTCCAATAAATTTTATAATTATTCTATAACAACTTCATAAATGCCACAATTAATCTGCAATATTACCACACTTCCAAGTGAAAGTACACCTAAAAGGAGCTTGGCCAACTTTACGCAAATCCAGATAGATTTATGGGTAACACAGACACATATCTATAAAAACACCTATCTATAAAGACACACATATATCACATAAACCTCTCATATATAGTATCTAATGTCGGCATTACTTTCAAGTCCCAAGATACAGACGAACCTCTTCAGACTGTCACTCAAGAAGGCTTCAAGAACTTACAGATGAACAGTGTCTCAGGAAATGTATCTAACAAATACATATCTATGCATATACAAGACTATAGTTTCTTATATATTACAAATATATAGAAATTATTTGCTTAAAATTGGGAATGTGCCACAGTACACACATTGCCTCATTTGATTTTACAGCTTTTTTTGGACTTTTTTTTTTTTTGCCATTAAAATCGGCAACGACGACGATCGGTGTCGGTTTGGATAGGATTGGATTGGATGGATTGGTATCGAAACGGAGTGGTGAGTGGAGTATAAGCTGGATTTTATTGTTGGCGGCTCCACAAACTACATTTGCTAGGCTACCGTAATTGTGGCCAAAGCCAAAAGCCAGCGGCAACAGTTTGGTGGCTTGGTGGCTCCCTGGCTCTAGGTGTCTTTGCTCCCCTTGCTCCTCCACCTGGTGGGGGGGACAATTGTCGGTAGCTGCGGATGACGATGATGATCGCCAGGCAATGTCGTAGCCTGGCTATCTGGGAATCGATCTCAAAAGTTGGACACACATTCATTCGGCTTGCCCAATGTCAGCTCAAAAGCTAAGCTGAGGCTGCTAACTCTCAGATACAGATACAGATACAAATACCAAGACAAAACCAGATACAGATACAGATACAAAAGGGGAGAACAGGGGTACCGGGTACCGGTAGGAGATGCTCGGTTTTTATGGGGCTCATTAGTAACGATAACAACAATAGCATTAAAATGCGTGTATGTACACGGAGCAAAAAATACAAAAAAAAAAAAAGAATAAAAAGGCAATTGTCAAGCACTTGAAGTGATCAGAGTTGGGGATATACATAGCTTTGCTCTATGTTCTCTAGAGGATTAACTTTGGAAAATATTCTTTTGAGAGACTGTACTAGAATGTAGGAAAATAAAGGATATTTTAAGAAATGAATTCTATAATGCAAATTAAGACAAGATGTACCTTTTCGAGGTTTCTTTAGCTGTTTGACTTGAAATAACTTTTAAAGATATCTTGATCTTTTTCAAGGACTCTTTTCAAAACCTTTTTCCATCTTTTTCTACCATTTTCCCTTGAAAAACCTCGACTTTTCTCTTGGTGCACAGGTGGAGTGCTCAGGTGCATGGGTAATTATTTTTGTCAAGCGCTTAAAATGTCTTGGCAGACGAAAAGCGGAGCTCTCCAGCTCTCGGCAATACAAAAAACCAATCACAATTTTGATGGCTCAGAGGAAACGTTTTTTTGATTATCGGCAGCAGCAGCAAAAATGTTGAAAGTCCCCAAGACAAGACGGGACAAGACAAGACGAGACCAGACAAGACGAGACAAGAGAAGAATCCAAGTTCCAGCTTCGGCAGCTATAATTGCTGTTGTAGTTGTTGTTAATAGTAGTACATTATAATAAGCAGTAGTTGATAGGAGATGAGAGGTAAAAACTAGCGGCTAGAGGGGATCGCGGATTGCGGTGGTCCACAGATGACAAACACCGATGATGGCCGGACTTTGACGAAAACACAGCGGAGAATGGCAGATGAAAATCTTAATTACAACTTTGACATTTAGCGTTTCCCCGAAGCTTATAAGTATGTCTCTCCTTCTCTCGTTACTTGTATTTCTGTGTGAGATGTGTTTAAAGGAGAGTTTATAAAACCCGTAATCGAAATTCGTATCGGAAGAGTGATCATTGACACATTTATACCTCAAAGTCACCTTGACTTGCAGTTATTCCTAACTAGAACTTATTGAGAGACAGTTTCTTAATGTAGAATTAAGAAGAAATTAACCGGCAGAAGTTCAGTAAGATACGTAACGCCTTGCTATTACTAGTTACTCTTCATTTCACTTGTTCAGTCTGTAGGCTCTTTGTTATTTATTCCCAATTCTTTTCTATAAGTAACCTTTTATTTGAAAAAGGTTGAAATATATAGTATTTCCTATCTATAACTAATTAAGGGACATTTGTTTTATGTAGAATTAAGAAGAAATTAAGCGGTAGTAGTTGCGTAAGATGCGTAACGCATTGCAATTTATCCCTTGTTCGTTTTCTCAGCTCTCTAATCTCTTTTATTTTTTCTTGCATATTCCCAATTCTATACTTTAAATAACACAAAACTTGGAAAAAGGTTCAAATGTAAACACAAAACTAAGTAATAATAATATCACACAAATACAAGGCACCTTATCTAGTTAATTTTTGGGAATAAATTCAATCTAAGTTATATAGAACCCTCTATATCCAATTGTATTAATTTTCCCTGTCAGAAATGCAACTATTTTTGAGATATTCTCCACTCTTAAAATTCCTTTTCACTTAAAAATCACAACATTTTCACCTGCCGACGGCAATTGATTCTCCGCTCTACGTACCTTTCTTTTCTTTTTTTTTGTGTTTCGCTTAAAATGCGAGTGTAGAACCGTTGAATATCTTTATTTATATTTTAATATTTCACTATATAATTTCACTTGTTTTGATGCAGAGTTCCGAGAGTTTTTTATTTTTAATTTTCTTATTTTTTGTCACAGTTTTTGGGGTTTTAAAAAAAAGTGCTTGGTGGTTTGGAAAAAACTTTTAGATTCGGTCGGCAACCCGTCTTATTTCCATGGGTCCCTGCGGTCGTTTGAATTGTTGTGCTTTACTTTTTTTTCTGGAACGCCTCGGATATATTTCGGTGCAACAACGCCGCCGCCGCCGCCGTTCACTTGGATATTAAAAAAGTTTGTCGTTTTCGGAATTGTCGTTCGTTTCACTTGCGCGACGCTCACACACAGCGTTACTGTCACAGTCGCAAGTCGCAGTCACAGTGACAGTCACGAACATGAACACGAACACGAAGAGGCGATGGCGAAGTCAAACGAGCCGCGCGGGCGGCAGAAGAGGAATGCGGTGGCAGAGAGTCAGAGGCAGGCGAGAGAGACCCCTTCGAGTGGATTTTCCGCGCCCGTTGTTTTGTTTTTTTTTTTTTCTTTCCCGTCTGCACTTGTATTTATAGGTTTTGTGCTGCTCTCTCTCTCTGCGTCGCAGTTTGTGCCCTCTGCCGGCTTTGCCTTACGTGTGCCCTCTCTGCCGCAGTCGGCAGAGTGTGCTCTGCTGTGCTCTTACTCTGTTGTTGCCTTACGCCCGCCGCTGTTGTCAAATGACCTTCGCTCTCTTCCTAACAGAATGTTAAAAGGAGTTTTGGGGGAAGACACTGTTATCAGTAAGAATTTCTAAGCCAGGATTTAAAGGGGTTTTTTCTATATTCCTTGTAAATATTTGTATATTCCTATAGAATCATAAATATATACAATTTAAGCCAAATCTTTGTTTAAATTACTAGTTAATTATAAAATCTAGCTTTAAAAATTGTACCCTCTAAAATAAATAAGATCAATAACCATTTATCCCCACCTTTGACACCCTCCCGCTCCCCTAAAAACCATTACCTAAGCCCGGCTTTAACATTATTTGAAGCCAAAAAAAATAACCAAGTTAACAGAATTTTTTGGTCAAAAACTCCTTTTAACAGTCTGTTAAGAATGGAGAGTATTGTGGGTGACACTGATTCTCAAATTGTCGTTGTCGCTGGCGTCGACTGCAACGTCGACAGCGTCGTAGCAGCGTGGGCAACATCGACGACAAATGCGACGCACACACAGTCACACACGCACGCACAGTTACACAAACACCAATACACACCGGGGTGGGTGACACTTGCCTCTCGCGCTCTCGCTCTCACTCTTGCTGCTGTGCGTGAGAGTGAGAGAGAGAGAAAGAGAGACCGAGACCGAGCGCGCTATTGGAATTGGCCTTCCCTTCGGCGGCTGCTTGTGTCACATTGTCGTCGATGGGTCATTAGGCAAAACCGGTAGTGCAAAAGAGAACGAGCTATCCGCTGCATCTATCCTGCTTGCACGAGAGCGTATGTGTGTGTGTGTATGTCGGCAAGGCAGTGCTATGGCAAAGAGCGAGTAACACTCTCTTAGCTCTCTCTTACCACTGGACACTGGGTACTTTTGTGCATTGTATTGATGGTGTAGGATGGTGTTGGAAGGGGGGGCAAAGCGACGTCCACTTGCGACCGCAAGCAGTGCGTGCGAGTGGGAACCTCAACTTTCGGCTATTGCCGATTCCCTTGCACACTGTCGTCTGAGTGGACGAAACCGAAGCGGGTTGACATGCGACACGTGTATTTGTGTGTTTGCTGACCACACACGCATACAGAGCGGCTCTCACGCACATGAACCAACGGCAGCCAAAGAGAAGCCAGCAGAGAGCAAACCAAGTGCTGGTGTGAGTGCAAGAGAATGAGCGTGAGTGTGAGTATGAGTGCGAGTATGAGTGTCGCCCTATAGCCAGTCCGCGTGTGACAGAGCCGAAACGAGTTCGAATGAAATGGCAATGGCCAGCACGTAATTTGTCCCTTGTGTGTGTGTGTGTGTGTGTGCACATAGCTGTTGCTGCTTGCTCCCAGCGCTGCTGTTACTGTTTTTGTTGCGCTTGTCGTCACACGTTGCTTTTTTGCCTTAGCTTCGTCGTCGGTTCTTTTAAATTTTTGTCATTTGATGTCTTGTCCACTGTGTGCTCTCTGTCCGTCTCTCTCTTGCTCACTTGGCAACACCAGCGACCTCTCACTGAGTCTCGTGTATGTGTGTGTGTCGTTCTCTCTCTCTCTCTGTCTCTCCCCCTGTTTTTAGTGGCTGTAGCAATGCGATTGCGATTGCGCCGCAAAGTAGCGGCCGCTGGTGTGTGTTTGTGTGTAGGTGTAGGTGTCACACACAATACGACACTTTGGCGATTCGCTTCGATTTTTTTCTGTATTTTTATTTTTTTTTTTATATAATTTTTGCTGTCGCCACACAGCACCAATGGAATTCGAGCAGCGCCGCCTGGTGACAAAGAAGAGTCGTCGTCGTCGTCGTCGCACTGCTTCTCCTACTTGCTTAGGTCCCCCCTCTTTTCCCCCACCGCTCCAAGCACTGCTTGTCGCTGGTACCGTTTGTTTATGTAAATCGTATACATATGCAGGGGCATCCGCCTGTATACCTGTGTATGTGTGTGTGTTCTTTATGTATATCTATATGTACCAGTGGCTTTTCATTGTCCTTTTTATTGCCGAATTAAGAATATTTACACACCCACGAGATGTCTGTATGTGTGAGTGTGTGTACGGTCTGGGAATGTCCTATGTAAGGATGCACACAAACACACATATACGTAACGGTATATAAAGCCACATTTTTACATCGGATTCTGAAGGATTTCAAGAAATTTAAGTTCGGTTTCCTTTAAGGACTCGGTTCAACGGACTTTCTTCTGGGTCCATGCGATTCTATATACAGAAAATGACTGAATTATAAAGATCTAAAAATAGTTGTAGGCTTATTTATATATTTAAGAATTTTGGTCTGTTGTTTTCATACATATTTTTTAATATTTACTTTATGCTATATATATATATAAATAATAAAGTTATTCCAATAAATAGAACCTTTGAAATATTCAAAAAAGGAAAAATAGCCTTTAAAACCAACTTCAGTATCTTACCATACATTAATTATTCAACTAAAAACCCTTGGGAACCATTAATAAATCTTTGTAGAGCTCTTCATTAAAAACTAAGCAAACTTTTTAAAATTTCTTGAAAAACAATAGTTTTAGATAAATTCTAAGACATTAAGGTGCATACCGATAAGGAATTAAAAGAGATAATGAACAAATAAACAAATAATAAAATGAATAATTTTTGTTAAATAACAGATAAAGTTCTATTGGTTTAAGATTATTTTTCTTTAAATGAACACATGATGAACAAATGAACAGATAAATGAACCTTTATCGTTAATTTAATTCCTTTTTTTTAACTGTTTAAATAGCATGCAATGTATTTAAATCTCATCCAAATTAACTCAATAAGCTCTTTTTAAATTTCTGTGCCAAATAATGTAGTATAAATATATAAAATAAATAAGATAAGGGTTAATTAATAGGCATATAAAACACGTAAATGAATAATTTATGTAATAATTCGAATTGACATATAAATGTCTGTTTAATTTGGCGTAGAATTCTTATTAGTGCAATGCAATGTATTTATAGTTTGTATTTATATACAAATTGTATTTACATATATGTATCTGTATATTGTACTGCATATGTATCATATATTTCTTTCTGTAATTTGATTCCCACGAACAATTTATTTGTCCCAGCAATAATATTTACATATATATGAACATATACATACATCACATTCCGTTTTATTTAAAGTGATCGGTATTTGTGGCCAAGCAATTCAACTTCTTATGTATTTAATTTTAAATCTCAGCACATTCCGCTCTTAATCCTTTTAAACTTTGACGAACACTAATTTGGTGTAAAATAATTTCCCCAACCTGTTTCCTAAGCTTCCTAAACTATGTTTGATTTCCTCTTTTAAAGCGGAAATCGATTAAGAGCCCAGGGCGATATATAAAAGATATATAGATGAGTAACGGTAGGAATTTTGAGAAAGCATTAAAGTTAGCTTTACAACATCCTAGTCCTAAAATTTAAAGCATTTTTTGAGATATATTAAATAAGTATAAATATTTATAATATATACAGTTTAAAGTGCTTAATAGATGTGTAAAATCTCTTATTCTATACCTTTTTCTGGGTATTATAATTTTATTCCAGAGCTTGAAACGCCCTGATGTAGTCATTTCCAAACCAATAAACCATATATATTCCTAATCAGCATAAACAGGCGAGTCGATCTGGCCTTGTCCGCTTGAAAAATTTGTTTTCCCCAAATTTTCAAAATGTTATAAGGGGATTCATAATTAAAATGCTCAAAAATTAACAAAAAAAATTAAAATTTTTTACATTTTCAATTTGGTATGCAGATTTGTTAACCTAGGAAAAACTAGCAAAGACCCGCTTTCAGAATTGAAATTAATGAATTTTTGGCCAAGTTATGAATTTTTTAAACCTTTAAATTGCCCTATAAAATTATGATATTGAAATATTGATTTAAAGTCAAAATATAATGCACATAATGAACATACTTTCTTGGTTTTTTAGCAAAAAAGCTTTAATTGTATTCAATAGAGAAGAAATAATTATTTTCTTATTATCTTTTGTCTATAGTTTCTCACTATAGTTGGTTAATTTATGTTTTTACTTAATTTTAGTAATTATTTCAATAAAATAATTTACAAACTTTATAGCAAAGAATGAGATATACCCTTGAAATCGAATATTACCGAGCACATAAAAGTGTTTTGTTTTTTTTACACTCATACGAACAATATGTCGACCATTGTTTTGAAGGTCAAAGTTAAGCAATTTTTTATAAGCGGATAACAATAAAAAAGCTGCAACATAAAAGCAATATATGTATATTTAAATATTTGTGTATATGAGTATTATGCATACATGTGTGTACGTAAATGTATCGAATTTGAGTGGAATTATTATGTAAGCTCTTTTCGCCACACTTTCAATCTGCACCTGTGTGTGTGTTTGCTCGATTTTTAATTTTTTTTTGTGTTTTTATTTATGTTGTAAAGTGTTTTAAACGTTGAGAAAAAACACAAATTGTTATTCATCAAATCATGTGTAGGAAAGGTATTATTTGAACAATAAATAAAGCGCTTTAGATAGTTTCATTCTTATGGTAAATATACTTTATTGTTATAGAAAATATGTTATGATTTACTGGTAGAGATAATTTCAATATTATTTTAATATTTGTAGAGATTAATCTCATATGAAAATTAATAGGTACCAATATGTATAGATTT